GGTGGGGGGTGGGGGCAGACTTGGTTGATGATAGACTTGGTTGATGATGCATGGATGCATGGAGGGGATTGTAAACATGACAATGAAATGATATACTATAGGATGAATGTAAAACTAATGTTCTCCCATGTAAACGATCACATAATTCACAATAAAACATAATGAAAAAAAAAAAGCAAATTATCTTCAAAACTACCTATTCATACAGCCCTAAGAAGTCTGATTATCATGGTTTCCCTTTTAATCAAAGAATTATTTTTTAAAGGGAGTAAGTATAAAAAATTCTCCCAAATGAGTTTGGCTCTATAGAATCAACACTGAACTGAACTATAAACCATAGCAGTTCAAACCCACCAGCTGCTCCTCAGAAACCCTATACAGGGTTGCTAGGAGTCGGAAACAACTCGACAGCACTTAACAGCAACAACAACCGTTCAGTGTGGAGTCCTGGTGTGGCAGTGTAGGATAGCACTAGACTTCTAACTGCAATATCGGTGGTTCAAACCCACCAGCTGCTCCTCAGAAACCCTGTACAGGGTCACATGAGTCAGAACTGACCCAACAGCACTTAACAATAGCATCAACACAGTTTAACGTATTTTACAAAATATGTTACTATTACTTTCTTATGAATAAACTAGTCTCCACAAATAAAATGTTAGTCTAGAGTCATTAAAATATGTTCACAACCCACATACAGATTATGACATGCAGTTTGAAAAGCTCTTTGTGGTGAGGGATGTAAAGACGAGGTAGCAAGGAGAATAAAAAGGAACATTTAGTAAGGTAGGAGGAGAACCCAAAGAGTGGTATCCCAAAAGCCAGTGAAGAAGGTATATCAAGGGAGTGATTCAAGCACCCAATACTACAAACAAGGAGAATAAGATATGGCTGAGGATTGACCAATGAATTTTAGAATGAGAAAGTCACTGGTAACAAGAACATTTTTTGGTGAAGTGTTGAGAACAAAGGCCTCATTGTAGAATAGTTTTTATTGTGCTTACTTTCTTTGGGTTTTCTATATTTTCTAAATTTTCTCCAAATACTTTTTAAACATCGGAATGAGATGTTAGCATGTTACTTTATTACAGTTATAAAATATGATAGCACATTTAGAACAATTTTTTTTTTTAATTTCTTCTTGTAGAATATCTTATCTCTTAACGGTGCTAAATAAGGGAAATGTCAATGTACTCAAAGTAGATGTCTTCTAAACTTAAAAAAAAAAAAGTGTTTTCTACAATTTGGGGGAGAAAAAACAGAAGAGAAATAATTTGTTTTGGCTAAGATTTAAACCTTAGAAGCACAGTCAGAGTAATATTTTTAAAAATCAGATCTGTCTAGTATGTATAACACCAAGTAACAAGCTATGGAAAAAAATATACAAAGGCAGAAGCTAGGAACCTGTTTCCCAATGTGACCCAATCCTTACAGTTGGTCAAGTGCTCTTGACTTGTCTGCCCCTGAAAGTTTTAATGAGAATACCAGGTCAAATCAATCCTCTCTATAATGAAATCTTTCTCTTTTTTCAAGAATTCAGACTATGTTTTACGTAATATGATGGTTACAGGGGCCCTTGGTCTAACAGAAGTACACACCAATCCCCCTACTATCTTTAGGAAGACATGTATCTTCAGGTAAGAGACGTCTCTATTTTATTTGACTTCCAAAACACATCCCCTGATGTGATAGCAGATCTGAAAGACAAAGCTTCTACCTTGTATTAGTGCACAATGACTCTCATTCTGATTGGATTTTAAGGAAAAAAATTCCTGCAGGCTATCATCTGCCATAGGCATATGAACTCCTCTTCCCCAAAATCCTATTCAAAAGAGATTTCATCAGTATTTTTATATTAAAATTGTGTGTTTTATCTTCTGTGATTTTATTGCAAACATGGAAGTAAACAAAACCTGAAATTATTATGAGTAATACATTCATATCCCTTATTAGATTTCAAGTGTTAATGTTAGTCTATGAACCTGTACTTTATATATATATATATTCATAATCAAGAAGTACTGTAATATAATTCAAATGCATTGTCATATCATTCATTTAATCCTGAAGCAATTGTGCAATAAGCAAAATATTATAAAGAGAAAATAAGGATTAATTTCCTATAGGGGCCAACAGATAAGATCTGTGCAAGACAGCAATGAACCTTCACATACTGGAGTCTTGTTTGAAAGCCCGTCAAAAATTCAGATTATAGAAAATCACAAATGTCACCAACAAAAGGAATGTTAATTAGAATCAAAAACTTCCCATAGGGCTGCCTGCTCTGTAGGAATTTCAGAATTTTGCCAGCACAGTTTGGCTAAGCCAAATGTCACTGATGGATTCATTAGAGAATGAAAATGCCCCAGTAAGTGCTGTTTTAAAATTGTAAAACATTGGGAGGGGAAACACAAAATAAAACTATCTACATAGGGAATATATGTTCCCTAACAAAAATGGCTTAGCACTAAGAGAAAGCCTCTGCCCCCAAAAGAGACTTTCTACATAGAGTTAAGCATCATTCAGTGAGGTGTGACCTTTCTTCCTCAGGACACGTCTTTTCTTGCAAGGTGTTCAGAGGCAAAAGTTCTACTTGGATTCTAATGTGGGTTCTAATACACATCCCTGTGAGCTCGGTTTCCTAAAAACATACACCTGCTGGTTCTAGGTTCTCCATGACAATGACTGGACTCACTAGTTCACAGCCACCAGAACCACACATATATTATTAACATGATGAAAAATACAGCTACTGCTGCAAGTTTGGCATAGGTGGAACGCATGTTCAAGTACTTTGCATCCTGGCTGTATTTCTTGGAAAGACTGGACAAACTGTTAGCCTTTGAATCCCATGCTGAGAGCGCTTCTCCCCGTTGTAACACTTCTTCATTGTTGGTCACCATGATCCTCTGCACATCTTGCAATTCAGTGTTGATGGAGCCCAAGTTTCTCCGGGCATGACTGTCAATGTAGAGCTTTTTAGTTTTCTGAATATAGGTATCAAACTCAATAAAGGACTAGGGTCTCGACCCAGTGGGCACCTACTTCCCATGTTGCTCATCAAACTCTGAATGCAAATCTTCTAGGTAGGCAAAAGCCAACTTCTTAGGGAAGGCAGCTTCACACAAAACCAAGTAACACACCTCCTGCTCAAGAATGTAAAAGTCATGGCTCCTGCTTCCAAGGTACATCTGGTAGGGGACTGTTCATTCAACTTTCGAAAAAGTTGCTTAGCCTGACTCTGGTACTGCTGAAGGTCCCGGCCAGACTGTTCATCCTCCTGCATAGAGGCAGCTAGAGGAAGCCCGTACTCCACTTGGGTGATCATCGTTAGCAACACCATCTTCACAGATTACAGCGTCCCAGCGTAGGCCCGGACGGCCATGGGAGTTGTCCTCACTTGCTCCACTGCGTTAACAGTGGTAACTCTAGTTCACTACCCAAAGACTCAGCTGCTTGTGTATCTGCTTCCCTGTACTTTATATTTTAAAAAGTTAATGGGGGCAAAAGTGGAGAGGAAGCAGAGCATATTAACTGGGACCCTGCTCTAGAGTCCTTACAAAGACTTTCACCTGTGGAATTTAAGGGACACTACTCAACCGTAGACAGATGCAGAGCAGATTTAAACTGAGAACACACCTATTGCAAAACGGACTGACTGCTTCTTAGGAGATCAGTGTAGTCGAATAGGCAGTAACTCTATCTCAGACAATTAGGCTAATTAGACACTTAATTACATAAAGTTAATTAAATTTTAATTTAGCCTCACTACAAAATCTTCACACAGCTTCGAGCTTTTTTCTACATAATTATTTTTGGTGCTGGTCAACATTTTACAGGAATCTCTGTAATAACACCCAAATTCATTGAATTCCTGTGTGTAACTTAGAGCAGAAGCCTTTTGAGAGGAACTCTGTAAATCAACTGACTTTTTCATTATGCCTGAAATTTTTAGTTCTATGTATCATTACTAGACAGAAGTGATGGTTCAGCAGCAGGAAGGGGTGGGAATAGCATCAGAAGTATTATTATCATTATAAATTTATCTTTGTAAACTATCCATTCACATTATGAAGCTGTGCAAAGCACCAACATTTTTACAAATACCACAAAGGAATGGCATCTATCAATGTAAATGGGAAAAGAAAGAAAGAAGGAGCTGTGTCTATTTCTCATTAGAAAAGAAGTTGTTGTTGTAAAGTACCGTTGAGTCAGTTCCCACTCATAGAGACCCTGTATAGTGTTTCTGAGGAACAGCTGATGAGCTTGATCTGCAGTCCAGCACATTAACCCACAGCGCCACACCAGGACTCCAGAAAAGAGTAGCCTGCTACCATTCTATGAAAATCTCAGGCCCCTCACTATAGCAGATACTGTTGGTGCCCTGCCCAAATCCCCACTAGTCCTTTTGCTAGCTGTTGCAAGTACTTCTGCTAATGGTTCTCCATCGGAGCCCTTCATCAGGAAGTACTTAGGAGTTATATCCATAGCAAGCCCCCACATATACACATATACAGAACAACTTAGAGCTAATGACTAACCTCTGTTAGGATACGTAAGTCCTTCCTTGTGTTAAGATGGAACAGACTCTCTGGTACAATTTACCCTCCAGCGTTCCCTTGACTGAGGCTTGACTTCACCTGAGAACACATTCTTGCTTAGCTTAACCCCTTTACTATTTTGCATCCCTCAGTACCTTACAGAGCACCCCCTCAGTAAGTTGCTTGCACAAGAATCCCTGTCTCAGGCTCTGCTTCTAGGGAACCGGACTTAATATACCCATCAGTGCCCAGGCATTCAACTATATTTATTGAACAACAAGTAAATTTTAAATGAACATCTTTGGATAAGCATGTTGTTGCTGAATGCTGTTGAGTCAGTTGCAACTCATAGTGGCCCTGTTCAGAGTTTCTGAGGAGTCGCTGATGGATTTGAACAGCTGACCTTGTGATTAGAAGTTCAGTGCTTATCCTAGAGTGCCAAAGCAGGCCTTCTTCGATAACTGTGTATACAGTGAAGGCAATCAATCAGGGAATGAAGATGGTGCATGACTCAGGTGATGCTGCTGTAGATTGGGACGTTGGGGGAAGCTTCTCAAGGCAGGTGACACTGGAGCAGAGATGGAGTGAACTGAGGTAGAGAACCATGTGAAGTCAAGGAGCGAAGGCAGATCAAACAGCACAAAGGGCTGGTGTGGTTGGAGGGTAGTAGGCACAAGATGTATTAGGGTGAAATGTGTAAACAGCCTGTTTTATGTTCTTATTCTTATTTGGTTTTGGTTTCAGAGATTTCCTCTTTAAGTGTACAGACAGTTCAGAAGTTGTTTTGGCCTCTGCCTTTGGAGAAACCCACATAGTAATTCCACTTCGCGAAAGAACAGGAGAGGCTCTGGGAGTCATAGATTTTAACATTGGCCGGAGTAGAATGTTATTGTATCGAGAATATAAAGATCTACAGAAAATGATGAAGGTGGTCCAAGCTGCCTGCTATGAAATACTGGGCGAATTCTCTGGAGAGATAAAGAAAAAACATGTCTTCGGTATTATGACTATGGCAATGGTCTGGATTCATGGGTTTAATGGGTTTGGGGAATATCACAGACAGTGCAATGCATTTTCTAAAATGAACTGTAATATGCAGATCTTTCCGTGTGAAAAGACTTCCCTCATACAGTGTTGGACTTGATGAGTATAGTCTATAAATTAGAGCAAAAGGTACAGAAACACATTCTCTTGTATAGAACCATACAGTTTTAGAACTAGAAGGACTCTTAAAGAAATTACAGAATTAGAATATATTAAATGCTCCATTATGTGTCAAGCACTTTAAATACATTATTTGACTTAATTCCTACCACAGTCCTATGAGACAAAAGGTGATAAGACTATAAAAGTGAAACTTGGAGAAGATAAACATGTTCCAAACCATAATTACTTAAGGAGTGAAGACTGAATTTGGGTGACTCCAAAATGTTGTCCACCATGTTACACAGCATTAACTAGTCAAGCATCTAATTTTACAGATAGTGCATAACAGTAAAGTGGATTATCTAAATTCATGGCACAGCCAAGAATGGAACCCAGTTCTTTTCTAGATTACTCTTAGCACAAAACCAGATAAAGGATTGGGCAGGAGAGAAAAAGACCTGGAAATCTTTGGCTACCTATAATGTAGTGAACAGAATTACAAGAGTAACAGTTTGTGGGATTAAACTAAAAGGCTTCAATTTAATCTGTAGGCTGAGAGGAGAAATTTTATGAAGAAATAAGAAGGAAGGAAAAACTGTATGTCTCTTGAACATCCACTATATATATTAGATCAGAAACAAAGCACTTTTACAATACCATGTCATTGAATTCTCATGATTTACTAGAGATCAGTTCCATTGTTACAGAAGATGAAACAGCAGTTCAGAGAGACAACAGAACTCTTAAGAGAGACAATGAGGATTCAAACTGAGGTCTAACTCCAAAACCCAAGTTTTCCCCTTTCCACAAAACTTCGTGCAAGCTTCAGTAAGTGTGAAGAAATAGCAAGAGAAACTAAGATTGTTTAAAGCCATAGGCTCTGGTCTACGTGGGATGAGGGGAGTGAAGGGAAAGAGTTTACTAAAATATGCTCAGTAATGTTTGTGACTGAACAACAATGTAAGACGTCATTCTGTTATTCCAGAGATTGAAAATGCAGGGGAAGTCCAGCGGGCAGGGATTATCTTCTTCCGAATCATGCTGCAGGAACTGCAGGAAAGCATCCAACTGCTTGACTCCATGGACATTGTGTCACTGTTGACTTATGATCATAAACTTCTAACAGAATCAAAATATTTTCAAGATTCATCTGATCATATCCAGGACATTGAAGCCAACACAAGCCTAGTGCATGACATCCTGATGGGGATTATTTTGTTCTTTCATCCAGAGTTGGAATTCTCAAGTGACTTCGAGGATTGGGATGCCTGTAAACTGGTAAATTTTTTGTTTAGGTGCTTTTTTAAAAAAAGATTTCATGGACCTTATTTTTCAGAGGAGTTTAGTTGTTCTTATTAGGTGCCATTGAATCAGTTCCAACCCATAGTGACCTTATGTACAATAGGACGGAACACTGCCTGGTCCTACATCATCCCCACAATTGTTACGTTTGAGCCCATTGTTGCAGGCACTATGTCAATCCATCTCATTAAGGATCTGCCTCTTTTTCACTAATACTCTACTGAGCATGATGTTCTTCCTTGGTATTGAGCCCTTCTGACTACATGTCCACAGTATGTGAGATGAAGTCTCACCCTCCTCTCTTGTAAGGAGCATTCTGACTGTGCTTCTTCCAAGACAGATTTGTTTGTGTCCATGGTAATTTCAATATTGTTCACCAACACCATAATTCTTCTCTGATTTTCCTTATTCATTGCCCAGCTTTCACATGCATATGAGGTCATTGAAAATGCCATGGCTTGGATCAGTTGTGCCTTAGTTTTCAAAGTGACATCTTTGTTCCGTAATACTTTAATACTTGAAAGAAGTTTTGTGCAGCAGATTTGCCCAATGTAGTAAATCCTTTGATTTCTTGTTTACTGCTTTCATGAGTGTTTATTGTGGATTCAAGTAAAATGATCTTTGAAAAGTCAGTGTCTTCTCCATTTATCATGATGTTGTTTATTAGTCCAGTTGTGAGGACATTTGTTTTCTTTATGTTGAGGTGTAATCCATACTGAAAACATAGCAATGATTATTTTGAATTGGACAATCATATGGTTTACTATGCCAGGAATGACAAATTGAAGACAAATTGCATTCCACTTATCAAAAAAAAAAAAAAGCATTTCAAGATCTGTCTTGCAGTACAACGCTACCTGTGATAGGATAATATCCACAAGACTACAAGTTATTGTTGTTGTTAAGTGCCATCAAATCAGTTCCAACTCATAGCAACCATGGATAGGATTTCCAAGAAGCAGCTAGTGGATTTGAACTGCCCATCTTGTGGTTTGCAGTCCAGTGCTGATCCTACAGCACCCCACAGGAAGTCCTAGACCAGTTAGTACCATTGTCATTCAAATTTACACACCAACCACTAAAGCCAATGATGATTAAATTGGAGAATTCTACCAACGTCTTCAGTTTGGCATTGATCAAATATTCAATCAAACTTGCAGAATGTGCCCTTTGGTGGTGTAAATTATTATATATGCCTGAGTGTTTGGGGGGAAAAAAAAGAGCTAAAGTATATAGAGAAATACTATTAACTGATGGTACAAGGAGGGGATTATAATCATTGTAATGAAACAAGCTGTATGATTTGTTGAATGTAAAACTGATGATCTGCCCTGGAAACTTTCACTCAATCCACAATAAAAATCTTTTTAAAAAATTAAATCAAGATGCGTTGATAATTACTGGTGATTGGAAAGCAAAACTTGAAAGCAAAGAGGAAGGACAAGCAGTTGGAAAATATAGCCTTGGTGATAAAAGTTATGCTGGAGAACACATGATAGAATTTTGGAAGACCAACAACTTATTCATTGCAAATACTTTTTTTTTTTCAACAACATAAACAGTGACTATATATATGGACCTCACCAGAGAATTTACAGAAATCAAATTGACTACAACTATGGGGAGAGACGATAGAGAAGCTCAACATCACCAGCCAAAACAAGATCAGGGGATGATTATGAAACAGATCAATTACTCATATGCAAGTTCAGGCTGAAGCTGAAGAAAAGTAAAACCACTAAAGCCAAATTAAGTCCACTAGAGCCAAAATATGCCCTTGAATATATCTCACCTGAATTTAGAGCTCATGTTAAGAATAGATTTGATGCATTAAATACAAAATCCAGAAAAGTGTGGATGACATCAAGAACATCATACAAGAAGAAACCAAAAGGTCATTAAAAAGATAGGGGGGGAAAAGGACCAAAATGGGTATCAGAAAAGACTCTGAAACGTGCTCTCCAGTATAGAGATGCTAAAGCAACCAGAATAAGTAAGAAAGCTGAACAGAAAATTCCAAAGGGCATCTCAAAAAGACAAAGTCTAGTATTATAATGAAATGTACAAAGACCTGAAGTTAGAAAATCAAAAAGGAAGAAACACACTCAGCATTTCTCAAGATGAAAGAACTGAAGAAAAAAAAATCTAGCCTCAGGTTGCAATATTGAAGAATCTATGGGCAAAATTCAAGCCATGGTATTTTCAATAACCTCATAAGCATGCAAAAGTTGGACAGTGAATAAGGAAGACTGTAGAAGAATTGATGCATTTGAGTTATGATGTTGGAGGAGAATACGGAAAGTACCATGGGCTGCCAAAAGAACAAATAGATCTGAGTTAGATAAAGTATAGCCAGAGTGCTCCTTGGAAACTGGGATGTCCAGACTTTGTCTCTTATACTTTAGACTTATTGTAAGGAGGAACCAGTCACTGAAGAAGTATATCATGTTTAGTAAGGTGAAGGGTCATAGAAAAAGAGGAAGACCTCCAGTGAGATGGATCGGCAAAGCCGCAGCATCAATGGGCTCAAGCAAGAAAACAAATGTGAGGTTGGCCAAGAACTAGGCAGTGTTTCATTCTGTTATGCATAGGGTTGCTGTGAGTTGGTCCGTCTTGATGGCACCTAAAAACAACAACAACAACATGGACAAAATATTGACTGATGCAGGAAGCATCATAAGAAAATGAAAGGAATACATATAGTCAATGTACAAAAAAAAAAAGCCAATGTTCAACATTCAAAAGGTAGCAAATGATCAGGAATCAATAACATTGAAGAAGTCCAGGCTGCACTGAAGGCACTGGTGAATAACATATCTCCAGGAACTGATCGAATACCAATTGAAATGTTTCAACACACTAATGCAGTGCTGGAGGCACTCACTTGTCTATAAGAAATTTGGAAGACAGCTACCTGGACGACCACTTGGAAGAGATCCTTACTTGTGCCCATTCCAAAGAAGGGTGACCCAACAGAATGCAGAAATCATCAAATACTGTCATTAATATCACACAAAAGTAAAAATTTGCTGAAGATAATTCAAAAACAATTACAGCAGTACATCAACAAGGAGATGCCAGAAATTCATTGCATTCAGAAGAGGACATGGAATGAGGGATATCTTCGCAGATGTCAGATGGATCTTGGCTGAAACCAGAGAAAACCAGAAAGATGTTTATTTGTGCTTTATTGACTATGCAGAGACATTCCTCTGTGTGGATCATGACAAACTATGGGTAACATTGCAAGGAATGGATATTCTAGAACACTTAATTGTGTTCATGAGGAACCTGTACAGTTATTTAAATAAAATAGGTTATAGTGAATGATTTTAAATCAGAAAAGGTGTTCATCAGGGTTATATCCTTTAACCATATTTATTTAATCTGTATGATGAGTAACTAATTAGAGAAATTGAATTATATAAAGAAAAACATGGCATCAGGATTGGAAGAAGAGTCATTAACAGCCTACAATATGCAGTCAAGATATTATCCAATAGTACCACACCAGGACTCCCTAAGATGGCAATCTTTATGTATTCCATTTCATTTTTTACTTTTAAATGAATATATATTTTTTGTTGAGAATGTGTACATCAAGTAGCTTTGCTTTGTTTGTTTGTGAAATGTAAGATATAAATGGGGAACCACAGGGAGAAAGCAGGAAAAGGATTGCTGCAGGGATGGGATTGTAATGATTGACATGAAACAAAGTGTCTAATTTGTTGATTGTAAAGTTGATGATCTTGTCTTTAAATCTTCATTCAATTCACAATAAAAAGCAAAACAAAACAAAAAAACGAGAGAGGCAGACAGTAGCAGGATGGATGGAGACAGCCTACATGCCCATCAACAGAAGAATGGTTACACAATGGAATACTCTGCAACACTGAAGAATAATGATGAATTTGCAAAACATCTTACAACATGGATAAACATTATACTGAGTGAAATTAGTCAATCACAAAAGGACAACTATTGTATGAGACCACTGTTGTAAAAAGTTAAGAAAAGGTTTTCTTGATAAAAGAATCATTCTATGATGGTTAGCAGAGGTGGAATGAGGGAAAATGATTCATGGGCTAGAGAGTACACACATGTTAACATGGGTGATGGGACAGGTAGTATACAAGAGGGAGGTTGGCAAAGGGAAAATGAAGGTAATAGGAGACATAGGGAGGAATGTTACTAACTGTTGGTACATGGAGGGGATTGCAATCATTGTAATGAAGCAAAGTATATGATTTGTTGAACGTAAAACTGATGATCTGCTCTGTAAACCTCCACTCAATTAACAAAAAGTTTAAAACAAAATACAATAGATTCAAGCTGAACTACAGTAGTGAGGATGGTGCAGGACCATCCAGTGATTTGTCTTCTTGTGCACTTTGTTCTCTTGTGTCACAAACAGTTGGAACTGACTTGAAGGCACTTAACAACAACAAATGGTTTTTTAACAAATACATATTGTAGTGGATCCACCATTACAGCATCATGCAGGATGGCTTCACTGTCCCTAAATGCCATGTGCTCCACCTATTCCTTCTTCACCCCACTTTCTCCAAACTCCTCAACCACTGATCTTTTTACTTTCTGTATAGTCTTGCCTTTCCCAGAATGTCATATAGTTGAAGTCATACAGTATTCATAAAGTAGCTTTTTCAGACTGGTTTATTTCAATTAACAATATATAGTTAAGGTTCTTCCATGTCATTTTGTAGTTTGATAGCTCATTTCTTTCTATCACTTAAAAATATTTCACTGTATGGATATACCACAGTTTGTCTATTAACATATTTAAGGGCATCTTGATAGCTTTCATTTACTGACAACTATGAAATAAAGCTGCTATAAGTATTTGTGTACAGGTTTTGTATAGACACAAGTTTTCAATTCATTTGGTAAATACCTAAGAGCACAATTTAAGTACTCTTTTATTGAAGACTAACCTATACAACTTTAAGTGTACCAGACACAACTGCACAAAACCCTAAGTGTAAAGTACAATAATTTTCACACAATGAATAAATCCATCTAATCAGGACACATATCAAGGAATAGAACATTAACAACATCCCTAAAGCCCTCCTTTGTGCCCTCTCCCATGCCAACCCCCAAACACACACACCAAAGATGATCACAGTCCTGATTTCTAACAACATAGATTGGCTTTACCTGTTTTAAAAGCTCTATAAATAGAATTATGAAAATGGATTGATAGGGCACTGTATTTTCCCTTGCTAGTGGCCCCATAACTTTTCTGTTGTTCTTTATTCACAGTATATTAACAGAGGCTTAATAGAGGATATTTGTACCTTTGATCCAACTTCTAGCAGCGTGCAAGTTAATTTAAAGCTCATTGATGGATATATCAGAGGTAAATTTCTACTTAATTATGATCGAAATCTATACCAATAGCAAAAAAATACAGTTGTAGTTTAGAGGTTTCTACTGAAATAAAGCAAGTGACTCTAAATTTTTTAATTTTAAGAAAACAATTATTATAAATTTCCTAAAAAGAGGGGCACTGTCCAAATTACTGCATTCCTCAAAGCCAATGTCTATGCTATACATGTGAGAATTCAAAAGTACATCTATCTCCCACTTATTGGCTCAATATATCATTCATTAAAAAGGTAAATACAGGTTTCAGTGAGGATAGGGAGCAAGTAGATTAAGCAAGATTAATAACAAAAGAAAATAATGTATTGTGAGTCTACACAGTCTACTAATGTAGACTTTTTGGCAGAGGAGATTCTGCAGTGCTATTTCCAAGCTGGAGAGACTATTCATGTGGCCACAGAGAATAGCCCACATATAAGTGTAAATATATGTATACAAGCACACATTTCTCCACTGGTGTGTATTCTTCCACTACAAACTTCAGGCTGTGTATGTAAGTGGTCCAGTAAGGAATAAATTTAAAGTTTGTTTCATTTATGTTGTTTATGAAAACTAATCATTAATTGGGAAAGTGTGTAGAGCAGTTCCTTTAACTTCTCCCCCTAGTCTCAACTATCTCTGGAAACTGATCCATGTCAGAAGGGGTGAGGACCAGAAACTCCTTGGACAGAAGGAAGGAAAAGGCAACACAGAGATTTAATTCAGATAAAGCACTTAGAATGGTGCTAGGCATGTTCCACCACTCATCTGTCAGTTTGTCATACTGTGGTGGCTTGTGAGTTGCTGTGAGTCTGGAAGCTATGCCACCGGTATTTTAAATACCAGCAGGGTCACCATGGTGGACAGGTTTCCAATGAGCTTCTAGACAAAGACAGACTAGGAAGAAGGAGTGAGGAACTACTTCTGAATATTTAGTCACTGAAAACCTTATGAATAGCAGAGAAATATTGTCAGATACAGTACTGGAAAATGAACCCCTCAGGTTGAAAGACACTCAAAATACTATTAGGAAAGAGCTGCCTCCTCAAAGTAGAATTTGCCATGATAACACAAATGAAGTTTCCAGAACCTTCATTTGCCGGTGGGTCACAACTCAAACTGAGGAGAAGCAGATGCAAACATCCATCAATAATCAGAACATGGAATGTACAAAGTATGAATATAGGAAAATTTGAAGCTGTGAAAAACGAATGGAACACATAACGATCAGTATCCTAGATGTGAACTGAAATGGACTGTTATTGGCCATTTTGAATTTGACAATCAGATGGCTTACGATGCCGGGAACAAAAATTTCAAGAGTAATGGCATCACATTTATTATCAAAAAGAGCATTTCAAGATCTATCTTGAAGTACAATGCTGTCTGTAGTAGGATAATATCCATAGACTATAAGGAAAATTAGTTAATATTATCATTCCAATTTACACACCAACAACTGAAGCCAGTTATGATGAAATTGAAAAATTCTACCAAGTTCTTCAGTCTGAAAGTGATCAAACACTCAATCAAGATGTATTGATAATTACTGGTGATTGGAATGCAAAGTTTGGAAACAAAGAAGAAGGATCAGTAGTTGGAGAATATGGCCATGGTGATAAAAATGATGCTGGAGGTTATGTAATAGAATTTTGCAAGACCAGTGACTTATTCATTGCAAATGCAAATACCTTATTTAAATAACATAAAAGACAATTATACACATGGACCTCACCAGATGGAATACACAGAAATCAAATTGACTGCTTCTGTAGAAAGAGATGGTGAAGAAGCTCAATCTTGTCAGCTACAAGGCCAGTGAAACAGACCATCAATTGTTCATATGCAAATTCAGGCGGAAGCTGAAGAAAACTAAAAGAAGCCCATAAGAGCCAAGATAAGGCCTCGAGGAGCTCTGGTAGCGTAATGGTTACGAATCGGGCTGTGAACCTTAAGGTTATTGGTTCGAAACTACCAGCCACTCCGTGGGAGAAAGATAAGGCTATCTACTCCCGTAAAGATTTACACCCTCGGAAACCCTGTACAGAGTTGCTATGGGTCGGAACCGACTCGACGGCACTTAACAACAACAACAACATATCCCACCTGAATTTAGAGATGTAATGCATTAGACACGAATGACCAAACAGAAGAGCTGTGGGATGACATTAAGAACATCATACAATAAGAAAGCAAAAGGTCATTAAAAAGACAGGAAAGAAAGAAAAGACCAAAATGGATGTTAAAAGAGACTGAAATTTGCTCTCCAGCATAGAGATGCTAAAGTGAATAGAAAAAAATGAGAAAGTAAAAGAGCTGAAATTTTCAAAAGGCAGCTTGAGAAGACAAAGTCAAATATTATAATGACGTGTGCAAAGACCTGGAATTAGAAAACCAAAGGAGAAGAACATGCTCAGCATTTCTCAAGCTGAAAGAATACAGAAAATCTTCAAGTCTTGGATTGCAATATTGAAGTATTCCATGGACAAAATATTGAACGATGTAGAAAGCATCCAAAAATAAAAGATGGAAGGTATACACAGAGTAACTATACCAAAAAGTAATGGTCTATGTTCAACCATTTCAAGAGGTAGCATATAATAAAAAACTGGTGATACTGAAGGAATAAATCCAAGCTGTACTGAAGGTATTGGCAAAAAACAAGGCTCCAGGAATTGATGGAATACAAATTGAAATCTTTCAACAAGGTTTCGCAGTACTGGAGGTGCTCACTCACCTATGCCAAAAATAGACAGCTACCTGGCCAACCAATTGAAAGAGATCAATATCTGTGCCCATTTCAAATAGAGGTGGCCCAGTGGAATGTGGTAATCATTGATTAATATCATTAATAACACATGCAAGTAAAATTTTGCTGAAGATAATTTAAAAACATTGATAGAGAACTGCCAGAAACTCAAGCCAGATTCCAAAGAGAACATGAAACTAGGGATATCACTGTTGATGTCAGGTGGATCAGGGTTGAAAGCAGAGAATAATACCAGAAAGACGTTTACTTGTACTTTATTGACTATGAGCAGGCTTTCAGTGGATAACATTGCAAAGAATGTGCATTCCACAACTCATAATCGTGCTCATGAGGAACTTGTACTTAGACCAAGAGGCAGACATTCAAACAGAACCAAGGAATACAGAATGATTTAAAATCAGGAAAAGTGTGCACCAGGGCTGTATTCTTTCACCATACTTTTTCAATATGTATGCTAAGCAAATTATCTGAGAAGCTCGATTTTTTTTAAGAAGAATGTGACATCAGAATTGGAGGAAGACTATTAACAACTTGCGATATACAGATGATACAACCTTCTTGCTGAAAGCAAAGAGGATTTAAATACTTACTGATGAAGATCAAAGGTCATAGCCTTCAGTACAGATTGCACCACAAAGTAAAGAAAACAAAAATTCTCATAAGAGGACCAATAAATAACATCATGATAAATGGAGAAATGATTAAAGTTGTCAAAGACTTCACTTTGCTTAGCTCCACAATCAACATTCATGGAAGTGGCAGTCAAGAAATAAAATAACATATTGCACTAGGCAAATCTGCTGCACAAGACCTCTTTAAAGTGTTCAGGAGCAAATATTATCAGTTTGAGGACTAAGGTGCACCTGATCTAAGCCTTGGTATTTTCAGATGCTTAATATTCAAGTGAAAGTTGCACAATTAATATGGAAGACTGTAGAAGAACTGATGCATTTAAGTTATTGTGTTGAAGAAGAATAGTGAAAGTGCCATGGACTGCCAGAAGAACAAACAAATCGGTGCTGAAACAAGTACAGACAGAATGTTCCTTAGAAGCAAAGATGGCCAGACTTCTTCTCTCACACTTCAGACATTTGTCAGGAGGAACCATTCCCCAGAGAAGGATATTTTGCTTGGTAAAGTAGAGGGTCAACAGAAAAAGAAGAAGACCCTCAACGAGATGGATTGGCACAGTGGCAGCTTCAATGGTTTCAAGCATAACAATTGTGAGGATGGCTCAGGACCGAGCAGTGAGCAGTGTTTCATTCTGTTGTGCAGAAGGTCACTATGTGTTGGAAACAACTCTATGGCACCTAACAATAACAATGTCAGGAGTCCTGGTACAGCGCTATAGTATAAGCACTGGACTGCTAACCACAAGGTCAGTAGTTCTAACTCACCAGCTTCTCCTCAGAAATCCTATGTAGGGTAGCTAAGAGTCGGAACCGACTCAAAGGCACTTAACAACAATGTGGTTAAGCATTAGACTGCTAACCAAAAGGTGGGTGACTTAAACTCACCAGCTGCTCACCAGGGAAAAGATGAGGCAGTCAGCTACTTTAAAGATTTACAGCCTTCCTCGGGAATCCTACGGTGTTGTTCTATCCTGTCCTATGTTGTTGTTGTTGTTAAGTGCCGTCGAGTCGGTTCCGACCCATAGCGACCCTGTACAGGGTTTCCGAGGGTGTAAATCTTTACGGGAGTAGAAAGCCTGATCTTTCTCCCGCGAAGCAGCTGGTAGTTTCGAACCGCTGACCTTAAGATTTGCAGCCCGATTCATAACCACTACGCTACCAGAGCTCCTTATCCTGTCCTATAGGTTTGCTATGTATCTGAATCAACTCAATGGCTGAAAGTTTGTGGGCTTTAATTGGTGACCAGTCTGTCTAATCCATATTCTTCCAGTAACTCCTTGGCCCAGAGCCAGATCCTGCTGCCAGGATCCCTTGTGTCCTCTGAGATTGATGCTCCCCTTCTTGAACTGGAACTCAGGAACCCACCAGTGTCCAATGCTACTGCTCTTTCAGATTGGAGTTGGCAGGGAGGGGCCTCAATTCCTATGTACAGGAATTGGCTCTCAGCCCTTAATAAACCCTCTCCTAGCCACTGGAGGGAGTCCTGGTGTGGCGCTGTGGGTTAATGCACGAGATTGCAAAGTCATTTGAACTGCAATGTTGGTGGTTCAAGTTGACCAGCTGCTCCTCGGAAACCCTATTGTTGTTGTTGTT